ACCCAATCCTATGTCAACTAACTCTGCCTGTCGAAGGAGGCGGTGACTCAGCCTGTCCAATACATGCCCTAGTTTCACAATCTTATCGACTGGCTTTCCTTCCTCTACTTCAAACCCCAATATTACCCACCATAGTAGAAGAACCTTGACTTAACAGTTGATCCACTAAATACCAGGTAGAGTCATTGATGCAAGTATGAAAATTCCTTCTCGATTCCATGTAATGTAATACACAGAATCATTTTTCAAAAAAGAGACACAATTCATATAAATTACAAAACTACAAGTTTAAATGACTGCTTCCTGTCGGTTTGAATAATAACTCGGAAACTAGTTTCTTGGTGGGTGTGTACAGTTTCTAGAGAGAATGCATCAACTATTGTATCAGTCAGGTAGAGTATGAGAACAGTCGTTCAGTAATGGTATATGACGACGCACACACTATATCGGCAAATCCACACAAGTACCTTTGAAATTTAACTATTTGAAAGACCGAATAGTAACGTATTCATTCATAGATGTGATGGCTACGATGTATGTGTCAGAAACTAAGAGGAAAAACGTGCTCAGTTTTCTAAGTGATATCAATTTAGATGAAAATAGGGTTGGAACAGTGCATAAGCTTATATTATCGATTGTAGCTTTCCCTTGAACTCCATATTTTGTTTTCACTTATTTTCAAATAAAATATCAGAAAGGGCTTATTTCTTCCAGTGTGATTATCTTATTTAACTACCTCTTATACTTCTGTCACTGGACCACAATTTCTGAGCAGTTCTACATATAACACACAAGAAATTCTTTTGCATATTCAGTGCCTACTCAGACTTCGTTACCAGTAGTTTGACGGTTTTCATCTAAATTTTCATGCCACAACTGAGTCGGAAGTTTTTGAAATCCTGCCTGCAGAATTAAGTAAAAAGCTCGATTGGTTATAAAATACGAGACGTTTTACTCTCATGCACTTCAAATGTAATTTTTCAGTGAGTCTTCGCTGTATACAGTAATATATCTGCAGAAATTGTCGATAAGTGATCTATTATGAATGCAGAGTGGTGCAAAATGACACACCTCATTTTCCTAAATCAAGTGCAGAGTAATACAAAATACATAAAAGCTAGTGAACGCTCATATTACATATATATATTTACAAGGAAATACTAATAACTGTTGTTTTTCTGAACCCATAAATGGGATTTTAGGTGTTTTAACTGGAAGTACTCCGACAAACTTAAGAAGTGAACTACATTGTCTTTTGATAATTTGAAAGAATTCTGTGGTTTCCATCTCATGACCTGTATCAAAGAGATACGTTCCACTGACACTATTGGAAGCGTATGTTCTCTTGGAAATTAGGCTTTGTGTTAAATGTTCATAAAATCGAACATACGCCCTTCTTTCTGATCTCCCGATGTAACTGCTACCTCAGGAAAATGCAGTTTCGTGTACACAATTAGAGCTAACATGAGAAGGGTATCTGTCTACCTTTGATTGTACAACAGAGCATATTCTTGGACAGACAGGAACCGCAATGATTGCAGGATAGGTTCTGGTTAGTGAAGTACTTTTTATACTATAGCTTGATTCCACACAGTATTTTGGCACAACTGTGGGATTTTCAGCATGTGATATCGGTAGCCTAAATTTAGCAGGCCGACCGTTGATATCAGATGTTAGTCGGCCAGGACCTGGTGCATTGTCGGTGAGCGTCCCAACAGCTGTACCACCAACGCACTTAATCGCCATAGGCACGATAAAAATGTCTCTGTACATAAACTGAATTAATTTTTTAGTTTGTAGGAAGTTGACGAGAAAATAGATGATGGTATCATCTTATTCTGCACGAATCATTGTTTTTGCTTTATTCAGATAGATAAAGGGGAGTAAGTTTATGAAATTTACTATTGTGTCAACTCACTTCCCTGTCTCACTTGAGGCTTAATTACTGTCCAGGTGACGGTTCCGCCAAACACAAGAAATTCTTTCGAAGGAAAAATGCCAAGTACTTGGAGCCACCGCAAATCCTCTAGCCTTAATGGTCATTTTCTACAAACACACAGTAAGACAGGGTACGCCAAATACTAGTACACTTGGATACCTCACCTATATCATTAGTGATGCAATTTGTTGAAGGTCAAACTATCATCCTTTATTCGTGTAAATATTTTATGTACTAACTGCTTCTCAGCAGCAGTACTACTTCTCAGACAAAGGAAATGGTCAGTTCATTCTATCAGTTCCCTGCCTGTTAGTGCTAATAAGTTCTAAAGTAACAATTTATGTTCAGGAGGTAAGGAGTACATGACGCAAATTCCTATACTGTTAGTTAACGCGTCCAGAAGATTGTGACAGAGTCAAAGAATAGACTCCCAAAAGGCGAGAACACACCAAAGACCTTAAAATCAACAACTGCGCTAAGAAGCAAATTTGGGTCATTCATTCAACCATAACCCTAACATTTCCCCAGTCTAAATTATCCCTAACCAACCGTAATACTTTCCTGATCTAAACCTAACCTTAACTCAATCTTGTATCCCGCTTAATATCCCCACACTTCTTTCAACAGGTTTTTTGTGAATGTAGTATTATTTACGTAGTTTCACTGTCTTGATCTGACTGAATGTCCGAAGGTTATTGGTGGGTTTGAACCTGTTGACGTCTTTTCATTGACTTAACCAGGTATGTATCTTAACAGTTTCTGAACCGAACAGAAGTGAACTCGACTTTTCAGGAACCTGATAAAAGTTGTACTTAGTGATTCCTTTTTCGTGAAACCATTTGTCAACGCTTTTATCATCACTGAGAAAATGTTACTTCAAACATTTCTAAAGTTTCATAAATACTGAAAAGATTTCCAAATGTTTTTACTGTTTCCCGTTAATACAGTTTCTAGATTCATCACAAATAACCAGCAATCAGTCTGTTCTTGTAATAGTCATGCAACGCTCATAGCGTCACAACATCAAGTAACTTAGATTAATCATTAAACTGAAAATGTTGTCACTTGTCTTTGATGTTTACCTAAATCTGATGATTTAATTCCATAATTACATATTAGTTTTACTCCACTGAAAGTGGCTGGGAGTGGAATCCAGAAGGCATGTCCTTTCGTATTTGGAAGCTACCAGCCGCATGTACTTGGTTGATGGTGTTCCCGCTGAGATTATAGATAGCTTAGTACCAACTGTTTAAAATGCCAGGGATTTATAAGATAAACGAACCACGAAAGTCCCCTCTCTTTTGCAACAAGTAGCAGTTGTTATTTAATGAGATATATTTTAACTACTCCTTTAATGCATATCATCAGAGACTGAGTATTTTGTTTCAGTAGGATCCATCAGGGAAAAATTTGAAATAATTTCAATTAATACATATCAGTTCGCCTTTCCAATTACGGTATTTTCCAAAGAACACCTACAGACTAACAAATAATTTGGATGTACATGAAATTATAATGAGTTTATGCTAGCTGGAATAATTCTGTAGTAACGTCATACGATAGTTAGTGGAATGCCTTGATTTTCAACATCAGCAAGTATATTTTGAATAAATGGTATGATGTATTAAGTGAGCTAAAATAACCAATCGTCAGAAAATATCTGCTACTGATATTGTCAACTACGGTAATGCACAAACTGGGAAAGCTCCAAAAGTTACTGACAGATGTTGTCACCAATAAACCACTCCTACTGTGTGAAGTCTAGTGACCCAACCTTGGAGTTCGAACACGTGACCCAGTGGTTGGAAGTTTATTACGAAAGCCAGTGAACCACAGCTTCACAACAAATTAGTGAATCCATAAGACACTGAATGTGCTTGCAGAAAGAAAAGAACAGTCTAGACTTAGATGACTCAGTGATAACACTATTAGTTTGGAACACCGAATTTCTGAGTCAAAAATAAGTGAAATGCATTTGAGGTTATAGACATACCTATGTAAAGAAAATCCAGACATGTGAAATCAAGTAACAAATAAAAATCATCTATCCAAATCGTATATACACAAAATAAAATTCCACTAGTACAGTTTATCAAAGGTATCTTTAACTCATATTATTATTTTATATAGTATTTGTAAATTTAGTATTCTTGTACATCAGAGGATAAGATTATTGATAGCCTCTGCCAGGTAACTCGTATTCAGTGCCTTCATATAGTGAGAGTGTTCCTCACAAAAGTAGGACGGTGAATTGACAACCGAACTGGTAGACATGCAGCTCCGCCTAGGGAAGCTGGTTAACTCTGATTCCAAACACACGGTGTACATGGGATCCAGAATCTGAAAGGATAGAATGGTGTATGAACCTGTTTCAGTCACCAAAAATCATGGAAACGTAGCTTCTGACACTTCTCCACTACCTTGTGGAGGCCTCTTAAGACAACTACCTGCTTTAGTCAGGGCGTCCAGCAGCATCCGACCCCTCGCACATCTCTTGGTGCCCATAATGTACCAAGTTTTTGGTTAAATAAATAATGCATCAGTGGATATTGATAATCGAATTTAAATGAGATGTGCATCGCTGTTTCAATCGTTCAATGATCACTAACCACATGGCAGTTCCAGATTTGACTGCGGATAAACTCACTCATAAACCTTGTCCGGTGTGCTAGCCTCTAGTAAGCACGAGAAGGCAAGAAGCTTAGGCATGAGGCTAACAACCCACTCCCAGAGAAACAACACCATTGCAACTGCAACTTCGAAGCTTGAAACTCTATATTCCACTCGGAAGGAATGGAAACAAAACTTAGATGAATTTAAATACAACAGATACTTAACACTGTGAGATTATGAGAATAAATTTCTAAATTGACAGTTTATTAAGTCAAGCTGCTAAAGTTATTCAATAATATCAGGTGCTCCATTCACACACACTTCTGAAAGTACGTAATGAGTCTTATAAGAGAGGAAACACAAGTCATCAGTTTCCCTGCTACAGAATTATATATATATATATGCATAAAAAATGTGAAATTATAAGCGGTATAACTTCTTAACTTACTATCAGCATTTTTTCTACACCAACGCCTCTGAACTAAATGTCTAAAGCACAACCATTTACGAGTATAGCATAAGGCTGTCAGTACAAAGGCAAATAATATTCCAGTTATTGTGAGATAACACCATGCCCATAATGGTAAATAAATTCTTTCTGTTTCTTGACTGCCTGACAGTGGAGTGTCCATTATAATATCACATTCTTTTGTAAAATAATGGATATTTATACATGTACTATATATATATATATATATAAATTTTAATTGCTCAAAATAAATTACCCTTAGTACACGTAATCAATAATATGAAATACTTATATGTGCATACGAAGAGGGAGAGAGAGAGTGAGTGAGTGCAGAAAAAGAACAGAGAGTACATATTTATGGTACATTTTTCAATTAGGCATACCTGATTTGTATATCCTTAATCAAAGTTAAGGCAATAACTAGTTTAATTTGTTTATATCAAATTTTATTCTAATACTCTAAAATATATTTGTTCATTGGATAAAGTTTTAGTCAATCCTAAGATTTATTAGGATTTTATTGATCACAGGAAAGATTTCGTTGTTAACTGATACCAACCAACAAAGTACTGAATCGTCGTTGTTTAATCTTATTTTCAGACTTCCGGTAGTAAGCACGAACACGTGAACATCGACTGAATACACGGAGCTAATTAACTTTGCAATGAAATACCACGACTCATGACAGCAGTCAAGGTAAATAAGAGAAGAACTACTCATCTAAGACATTTGATGGTGCTGGAGATATACAACGAGCTATCAGAGTTAAGAATCATATATCACTGCATTCTAACCGACTCAGTGGTGGAACTGATGGTCTTAGACTGAATCATGCATGGCGTCTTGTGTTCATTATGACAGAATTCGAAACAAGCACCCCTTATTAGCTATCATTGGTTGTGTTATGCAAATCTATGATATAATTCAGTCATCACTGATAATTTCATCATAATATATGTATATTGAAATTCAGATTAGTAGACTACATAAATGGAAGACTCAATTAAAGTTCCTCTGCATAATCAATTTGTAAGAAAGGGATGACGAATATGATTAATATGTTTGCATTTAAAAAGTGGATGAATCAGAAAAATAATTTTTCGAAAGGTTGTATGAAGAGAATTTCAATCTCGAGTCATTTGTTGTTGTTTTGATGTCGTGTAAACCTGCGTCGTATCTACACCTCCTTATTTGGACTATACTGACTCTCCTAAATATGAAGCTTGTATTCGTATTTTTTGCGGGAAAGCGATTGGATATTTCGACCTAATTACCGGACTTGTGAAATGGAATTCGCTCGTTAAAAAAATAAGATGAACCATCTGAACGATTAAAGTGATAAAAACAGAATATACTTCAGCACCTCTTAATAAATTTCAAGCAGTTAGTTCCCTTGGTGAATTCCGACAAAACAATATGAAGACACAAATTATCTGAAACGTGTAATGTGTTCGCGCAACTCATATCGAACATTGCGATTGAACACGTACTTGTCATACATATTTATATAGATGGCAAAAGAGCATAAAGAATTACACTTTTAATCGATATAAGACAAAATGTGTACAGATCATGATCAGAGATAAAAGTTAGGAAATGAGGTAAGAAAAGAAAGGATGAAAATATTATTATTATTATTATTATTATTATTGAACACTGGTTCTAAAATTGGATTATCAAGACAGGTTCAAAGTAATGACAAACAATTTTTGAACACGTCAAACAGGTTAGGTTGTTTTATGGCTAAGGCTTCAATGAACTTAAGCGTGTGACCCAAACTTGTTTTTACATATGGGTTTAAAGGCATTACTGAAATCAACTTTGTGTTTTCCGACAGATGATGCTGGACATCTTTTTCGAGGATTAATTGAGTCCGGTGATTTTATTTGTTCTTGCAACCACTCTGAAATGTGTTCTCTAGCCCTGTCCTGCAGACTTCGATGGGTCCTCCCTATGTACGCGTGACCATATATTCATGTAAATCGGTAATCACAGTGGGATATGACACTATCGTTCGGATACTGTGAGGGTTTACAGGGTAACATAAAACTCGTTTTATCCATGAAAATGAGTTCAGCTGCACAATAAGTTCTATTAATTGTCTCGCTAAGTCTTTGTTTTTTAATCAGATTTCGGTGATCATCCTTGAACAGTAAGGATATATAAACACCCTTTTCAGGAGATAATTGGAACAGTGAAGCCCTTTGTTTAACACTTTTTAGCGTTTAATGAATTTCAGTGGATAGTTATCGTATAATAATATTCTAATGAGATTTTGTATTTCTTCTTCAGTGGTATTCTCTGTATCTATATGTTGAACGCTTCTGAACAAGTACTTAAATGACATCTTTCTATACAGGAGTGAACCGAAACTGTGCTGATTTAGGTACTGTCCCTTCCAGGCGAACTTCCTGTAGGCAGATCGTTTTATTGACCCATCCTGTTGGCGAGTTATGAGTTTATCTAGTAGTATCAAGCAATCGTCATTTTCTTCCACGAACGTTAACGTGATGTTACCTTATCTGTTTAAAAATTGCTATGGCATTCGTCAGCCATTCACAGGTGGCTGTGATGTCATCCATATACCTCTTATAAAAGCAAACTTCCTCAATTAAGCCCCCAGCTAAATTCTCTACATGTTATATATATATATATATATATATATATATATATGAACCAACAATAAAACTAAGGTACTTACCATAGCAACACCATCTCTCTGGTAGGAGTACTTATCCTCAAATGTAAATTTAATACTGTAAGTATATAAAAGCAGTAGCTCTTTAAAATTTAAAAGATTTCAGAAATATATAAGAAAACTCACTCATAGCTTGTTTGTTTCACACTATGCACAAAGTTCACCTTGATAATAGTGAAATTATTTAATTAAAAAGATTTTAAACATTATGAAGGATGTCTTGTAGATGAATAAAGAATGGCAAGATGAAACAAAATCCAGTCTCGTAACAACCTAGGATAATTAAAACACTTGTAATAATATCACTCTTCGTATGAACACATGCTTACTTACTTTTATGGATCATGGATTAATCACATCTAACAAACCACGCATGTTTATTAGCCTCTTCAGTCACTTGAAATGTGTTTTTGCTGAAGTAATCACATGATCTGCTGAGTCTGTTATATTACGAGAGAGACATACACAGAGGAATCATGACTGCAAAGATACACAGTTAATGTGGACATCCTTTGAATCACTAGAATGACTATCTCACTCTCCTTTCTAGTAGACTTACAGTGGATATTACCACTTAGTTTAATTGTTAGTTTTTTTTCGATATACTGAGTTATTCAGTCAATCATAACAAAACATGCATTGGAGTTACACTTAATTGACTGACGAACCCTGCACAGGACGAAACACGTCTGTCAATTATTACTACTAACCACTGATAAATATAAAATCTTTCAGGAGAAATTTATAAATGTTTCTTTTCTGTTAAATTGATCTATGGTGGTTCGTGTTTGACATATGACAACTATGAGAATGCACACTAAGTGTGAACAAAATTCAATCATTAACATACTGACTGTTTGTGGGTCAATATCATGTGTCAAAAGTTCTAAATTTTTAAAAATGACGATTTTAGTCATGTTTTGGCAAATAAATACGATCGAACTGCTACTGACACTACTAATGTACTTATCACTTATTCAGTTAATAGCACGTGTCTTTCGATTAGTCGGCCATGAAGTATGGTTGTATTTTAAAGTGAATTTCACAAGGTCGTTAAATGCTAGAAATTCATACATTTTCACGACATCATACACATACTACTGAAAGATCTGTGGGTAGGCATTTCAGTGATAGAATTCTGGCCAACCACGCACATGGTCCGGATTCGATTTTCCGCCGACGCACTCCTAAGCCTTGCTTAGTAAGCACGGTGAAATTGGAACTTGTTCATGAGGCTAGCCAAGTCGCCTCCATACAAAATAATACCACAGTTACTGAATCCACAAGGTTCCAACTTGAAGCTCTGTCTTTCACTTGGAACGCAAATGAATGAGTAAAAATTGAGAGATTCATTAAGAAGGATCCAGTTGAAGACTTATTTTATATACCGTCTACGAAAACTGCAGCATATGGTGTCAGTGATAGCAACACTTGTCAGAAGTAGCATTCTGGTTCCCTTTTTTCATAAATGAACAAGGTCTTATTGCTGGCTAAATACAGTTGAACTTTTCAACAATAAATTATTTGGTTATCTGAAATAAAATCAGCTAAAAACTGCCAGGAGAATATTTTACAAATCATAACAAGAAAACAAAGACTACAGCACAAGAAAAAGACGTTACCTGAATGTAAATCTTGAAGAAACAGTGTAACAACAGAAGACAAGGGTCAGACAAAAGATCGTTTATTAAGGAAAATCAACACATATTTATAGATTTTAATGCACATTATTGTAGATTATTGTTAGTAGAAAATACAGTCTTTTGATTGGTTGCTTCTCACAGAAAGTTAACCTCGCATCTCTTTGTGGCTGTGTCAGATCATCCATATGCTTACTGTATCCGCTTACGCAAAGCCTTTGTTCTCATTTTCTCACCACCAATATTGGGGACATAAACAATGACGTCAATTACTGTCTATCAACTTTGGCTAGCAGCCAGCTCTCACCACAACAGTAGTTACAATTAATGTAAGAGTAGGATTCGGCCAGTCTGGTACATTTTCATAATAGATAAGTTTATTCGAGACAACACACAGTGAAATAATATTGTAAGGTGCTTGTAGTACTATTAATTAGCTACATTACGCCAGCCTAACTAAACATAGTATGCCTAATTACCCAATCAATCCATACTCTACCTGACTTGTGAGTACTGATAATAAAACAGAAACCAAAAGATTAAGTTATTTAGTAATGTGTTATGATGAGGAGTATATTTGGATAGAATGAAAAGTGAATATTATTTAGGGGAAGGAATTTATAACTTATCTGGCTAGTATGGATGAACTACAGACTCTGACCTGAGCCTGTGTGTGTTAATAGGACAAGAAAGGAGCTGAAAATGCCGTTGGAGCCTATCCAGATGTGTGCCCGTTTAAACAAAACTTGAAACACTGGAAGGTGCACTAAAGTATTACTAAGGGCATCCGAAGGCGACACGCAGGAGATCGTGTGAGGGGGAAATGAGAGCCTATGGGCAATC